ATAATATAGATGAGGGATGAGAGCTGTGGGAATCTGAGGGAAAACTTGATGGATCATAGATGCTTATATTCAAAGTTTAGGTATCACCTTCTCTCAGGGGTCTTAAGGATTGATAACCATAAGCGGGTCCATGTGACCATATGAGCTCATGGTCTGAGGGATCTACTATACTGGCAACTTCAAATGATATTAAGATCCCTCTCTCTGATTTAATGATATTCATAAATCTAGAGATATCTGATGAAGTTTGCCCTGAAAAATAAAAATTAGTTGCATGCCTTTATATTGTATTACCTATTGGTAACTACAAAATCCTAGTAGTTTGGCTAGAAAAATCTCCAAAGGAGAGACTCTAGTGTTGTCAAACTGACTTAATTGTTTAAGTTCAGTTTGCAATAAAGAGTTACATTCATATGATATATATTGGAATAGTTAGAAAGTAGTATTAAGAAGTAGTAGCAAGAACTAAACTGTTAGCAAATACAGGACACATCTAAAAACATGTCGCTATTTACTATAAGTTTGTTATATACTTTTTTTTTCTGTTCCTTCACAGTACCTTTTTATCTAGTTATTTGTAAATACATATATGCAGAACATTATTAGATACTAAAGAACACACCTTCATTTCTACTTCCTGATAGTGACTAGAAGGTATATAGTAACTTACTAATACTCAAGTGCCTGATGTCCTTTAACCCCATATGTGGAGTCTGTAACTTCTCCAAATCTTGTCATGTATGGATGAAAACCTTGTCTTTTTTCATTACTGATATTCAAACTATTACCATTCCTATGCCCACCGAGGGATCGCTTTGGTCTTTAGTAATCAGGTATCAACACTTATAATTTCTCTCATCTTGAGAATATATCTACTCCTATATTGCGTTGACCTTAGCTACTGCCGTTAGGTATCGTCACCCTCAACTTCAGTAGAAAAAGCTCCTGGTCCAGCTGCGGGCAGGATAGATGTTCTTAGGGGGAGGGGTTTTACATGAAATACCTAGCCGGTTCAATAGCCAAGATGTTAAACTTAGGATATGGATTCTGTGAGAAAATAATGCACCAATATCAAAAGAGTGGCTTTTCTACTT